ATTAAGCATCTGAGATTATGTTTGAAATATATTGGAATAATCAGCACTTGAGACATATTCATTTATACCAACAGGATCTGGTGATGATAATATCCTTGTAATTATACCACTATGAGCATTCTCAGCAAAGACATAATTTTTGTCTATCACAATCCTTTAAAATATTTATAACTGTTGGTTTACCACTGTATCAGAGTATTTCCTTTCCCTTTAACCTATCTAATACACTTTCCTACAGAATGTTAAGAATCTGGCATTTGAGATTCCTTGGTTAATAAAAAACAGTTTATGGCTAGCAGTTGACTTGATATAATATGTTGTAAACAAAGCAGTAGTTTTTTTCCATCTGACTTACAGAATTTTTGGAGCTATGTGATAGCTTCTAAGGCACAGACATGAAGACAGAAATTAATTACCATTTTACTGCAAAAGACTATGGGCAACGTTCTGCCCCCTTACTCCAAGACGCTATTTTCAGGGGATTATGATTGGATAGAGTTCTTCTGCTGGATCTCTACATAGAAATAAATTTTACTCTGGCTGAACTATCTTGAAGGAAATATTTTTACTTAGAAGATTAATGAACACCTTCTGCTGAATTACTTGTTCACCCCAAGTTCCATCTCCTTGGTATATAAGCAGCATGTATTTGAAGGCAGTAGCCCATGTAGGAACAGCTGTGGTAGTTAGTGAAGGCTTTCCTCAATCCAACAGCTGAAAAGGCACTTTTATCTGACTCCTTTAAAAGCTTCAATTTCACAAGAGGTGCATCAGAGGACTGAGGGCTTAGATTTGGTGAGACTGATGAAATGAAAAAGTGTGAGAAAGAGTATTTATAATCCAGCACATGGACCATTGGTTTTTACGTGAAATCCTGGTTCATCTCTCATCAAAACTGTATGTGTGCACCTGTTTGTTTTAAAAACTGGGATTTTTTTATGATACAAATTATTTAATCAAAAACATGCATTACATAATTAGTTTGACATTCTTATCTTTGTTACTCCACAATTTGCATTTAAAAATACGGCGAACTGTAAGAAATGGTATAAGTAAAGTCTTTGTGGGTTTCACTGAGTTCACACCTTGAGTTCTGATCAAAGAGAAAAATGGCCCTCCCCTGTACTATTGTACAGTAATATAACTCAACATTTTTCCTTTCCCTCGCTATGGAACTTATCTGATCTCTCTTTTCTATCCATCTGCTCATTTTCATTTATTCAATACCTCTGAAGTTTTCTGTTCTGTATCATAAGTAATCAACACTAATTAACAGATCCAAAATATACTGTGCAGGGCCTAGAGAGAAAGTGATGACATCAACACTAAGAAACCTGTCTAAAAACCAGAGCAAAATTGAACCAATGCAGCACATGCTAAATTAATGGAACTTTGGTACCATGATAGATATCAGCTAGTGATTTGGCAATAAGAACTATCATCCCTTGTGTTTTTTTCCCAGTCATCAAGGAGGTTTTGGTAAAAACAATCATCATTATATGTTTTAACTATGTGGAAGCACAAATAAAATTCTTACCAGCAAACTTTGCATATAACACAAAACCCTTGCAATATAACTGATGAGGAGGACAGGTTTAGCTCTGCAGAAGAGCATGAATCACATGCTAGACTGTGCCCACGTTATGGATGAGAATGTATGACACATTTACCAGTGGCATTTATATTTCAGAAAACAGTGACTTGAAAGCAAATTTGAGCTGAACATGAGCTCAAAATGTGATAGAGAACTAAGAACACAGTGAAGTCTTATATCTAAAAGGAGATAACAACTGAACAGAAGAGATGGTTTTACCACATGATGATTTATTAGTGAAAATCTTTATTCAGTTCACCCATCTGCACAATATCAACTGCACTAAAATGGCAGGAAGAGTCCAGAAAAGAATGATGAAGAGTATTAGCAACCTGGAAAATCTTCCTAATTCTGCAAGTAAAGAAGTTAAAACTATTTAAGCTTCGGCAGCTTAAATATATAGTAATACATTAAGCCAATGGATTACTTTGCAGAACATTATCTTTGCTGTGCTGGTTGCCCACAAGTTCTTTACCTTGTGGGCAACACAAGGTTGTTTTGTCCTCGAGGAAAAGGGCATTAGCTGTTTTACATTCATATGGTTAAAGGTGAATACAAGAACCTCTGCTGCAGAGAAGCTAATGTACTATCTTCTTGTTGCCTGACAGTAACTTACCCTACAGTGCCACATCCTCAGTGAATTCAAAAGTAGGTTAGATATGACGTGGTCAAGACACAAAAGTACAAACATGGGAAGCTGTCATATTTTTGTGGTCTATTTAAACTAACACAATCCAGCAGCTGGAAGCTGAAGCTGGAAACATTGAGACTGGAAATTAAAACCTAGTTTTCTGGAGATGTTATATCTATCAATTATGTTCTTGAGGCTAAAATTACAAATGTTTCTAAAGGCTCACATAGAAATTTTATCTTTGATACAGGGAATACCTTAGAAATGTCTTGAATCCAATTTGTCCAAGCAGTCACATTGCACAAATAATGACATTTCCTTTTAAAAATCAATATATTTATAAGCACAGAAAGTTTCAAGGTCGCTTCTGTCTCCTTGACCTGTGACCCCAACAGCAACCATATTCGCAGGAGCATAAATGAATGTCCTAGAATGTCTGGACTGAAAATCAATTTATGGATTATATCTATGCTGATTTTAAAAGATCCTTTATAAATCATTATTTCTTTATAAATCACCCCTTATAAATTAGGATTTGATCATAAATAACAGCCACGAGGGAATGAGATTAAAGTTAGGAAAGGCACACTGAAGGTTGAGCTCTTACTCTTGCATGCCAACATCTCAGCTGATTCCATTAGCATACAGCTGAAATGTGAGCTTGTGAACATCTTGCCATCACTGAAGACACATCTATAGAGGGGTTGCCCAAGATTCATGCATGTAAGATGTACACAATGCCTGTTTGAAGTCTTTTTTTGACGGTTATGTTTTTTCTGATCAGTAACCTGCTTCTGTGCTGCTTAATAAGACATTACACTCACCATTTCCTTCTCCTTAACAGCTTTCCTCTTGTTGATGCCTTTAGACAGTAAAAAAGGAAGAGGAAATCCATTTACTTACAGCTGAAATCCTGTCCAAAATCTCTGTTGCACTTTGAGTGCTACAAAAGCCCACAGAAAAAAAACACTTCTTATCCACAGAAGAGATGAGCTTCAGTGGCTGAACTGAGGTAAAATTTGCACATGATTTTTAATTTCACTGAGGAGTCTTAGGAAAGTACATCCTATCCTACTTGCCTCAGTTTTTCTTCTTTGAGAGTTAAAATTATATTTTCAGGATCGTGCAGGGTCACTTTTGGGTTTGCACACACAGACATCCAAACACACATACACACGTACATTGTTGCATATTAAAGGACTTGCAGAAAATTTGAGTCCAAATCTGACGGGAATCATTGCTCTGTCAAAAATCTCACTGCAAAGACCCTTAAACAGCAGCACTCTCAGCTTTCCAAGTGCAGGACTTGATGTACGAGGTTAATCACAAAGATTCATTTTGTTGAGGGATCAGAAACCCAAAGCTGGCTCTATATAATACCTAAATCCCTTAATGCAACCAGCAGAGCCGCAGTACTTCTGTCCTCTAAAGCTGGTACTTTCTATTAATTCAAGATACCTGTGCATTCAGCTTTCTTTTCAGGCCAATTGCTAGAGGAAGAGTTTTGCGGTTGGAAGGAAGGAAAACTCACAGTTCCAAAAGACAGGAGACAAACTGCTGGCCCCTTCGTAGTTAACAGAACTTCTATTACTCCCTTCACTGCAGGATTTCACCAAATCCGTTTGATTATGTAAAGTTACATTTCTGTATCCTTTTCTATACATTTATTCATATGTAAATGAAAATCAGAAACACTTCTGAACTCTGCTTTCACATGCAGATAAAAGGTTTTCCCAGAAAACAACTAACATGAAAAATTGCAGGCATCTGCGTATTGTTCTCTAATAATTTCTATGATGTAAATTCAAAGCTCCAATGTATTGACTCCTAAGGATAAGACAACTTCACAGAAAACTTCAGATCATGCCAAGACAAAATCCTGCCTGGAACTCATCAGAACAGATACTCAAAACCTGAATCTGAACTTTGTTCTTTAGCATGACTTTTATGAAAATTCAGCAAAACACATGGTAACCCTACAGCTGATTACCCTTTTCCATCTCATCATGAAGGCAGGGAAAATGGAATGGAATGACTTGTGAAGAAGAGGACAATGTGAACATGATATTCCTGGACCAGTCCCTTTTCTCTGTATCACTTCAAATACATGGTGAAAGCTGACTTATCACATTAACATTTAGGGACATCATTTTGTAATAATGGCTGGGAGATATCTTTGTTCATACCATTCTGTTAAAGAAATGACCTGAACAGAAAACACACTTTGTATGAATCTCCCATTTATCAGAATAACATCATACAGTAATCAGAGTGTCTAGAAATTACAATGCAGCTTGTGGAAATACAGCACAGGCTGTAATTCTTGAAGTAGTTGAAAACAAACAAACAAACAAATAAAAAAAAGATCCATTAGGAAGTCTGAAGACAGAATATGGTCAGTTTCTTCTGGACCAAAAGAGATACGAGAACCTCCATATGCTTTGAGACATTTGCTTTCTGTCAGCCTGTTTGACTAGTTTATGATATTGCTGAAACAATTGTAAAATAGACATTAATATATTTATAGCAAACAGATATTATCTGGCTAAAACATGGAAATATTTAGTAAAAAAATCCACAAACATGAGCTACTTATGTCCTAAAAATGATGAATGACAGGTGATCAGATGAGATGGAAGTTGTAGTGAAATGGATATATGGTTACAAACTCTTTTACCAAAAATGGCTTTCCTGCTTCAAGGATGGTCACAAACATTCTGTTACGAGTTGAGTGTTGAGTGTACGTAAAAAGATAAGGACACTATCTACATTTACCTACTCTGATCCCAGTTGGCTGCAAAAAGTAGAAGAATCTTCCTGCCACAGTGGTCACGATTTTCCAGTACTCCTGGGAACCCATCTGTCAGAGCCCGTTTGATTCCTGGATCGTCAGCCTTGAAGTTTTTGAACATATCCAGGTTTAATTGGCGGTACTGGAAGTACTGAGCCAGCAGTCTGAAGGCCTCAGTTTGGTGAAACTTTCTGGCTCGGAGAAATCTCAAGATGAAGGCATCATCTGTACGTAAAAACCCAATGTCAGGCCTCGTGATAATCATGTCCCTGACTTGCTGGATATCCTGATGCAAAATGTCTGGGTTTTCATTCAGTTCCAGGCGGGCTTTCTCTATAGTCTCTGGACTAAGTCCAGCTTGTAAGTGGGTCATCTCTGCAAAAACCTCTTTTCCAAATCCTTAAATTCAGATGCTTTAGTAGAGGTGCTGATCCCATTCAAGTGATGGTCTGCTGTGAGTGTAAGCCATTCAGATGCTTTTTCCCATCAAGCTGATATTTAACAAATGAAAGCAAAGGGTTTTTCTTATTCTTGCGGAAAGAGTAACAGGCAGTTCACATGTAGTATAATCCATCCAAAGGAAAGTGTTGTTTATTCCATCACCTACTAAAAGAAAAGAAAAATATATAAAAGAAAGACTAAATACATATATAAAGCTTGCAGGAATGCATTTCTGAATTTAGATAGACATAAAATTTCTTTGTGTGCTTTATAGGTGTGAGGATACCAGTCAGTTTCAGAATCATTGCATTTAAGATAAGGCAGTCACATCTTGAATGTATGTGTTCAGGCTTTCAGAAAAATAATATGATTTATTGACAAAAAATACTATGCTGTATCAACTTACTATTGGAATACACTGTGCAATGTTGTCTTACAGAAGTGGGAGTTGCAGCATCCCATAACTTTAAGCCAGGAATGACAAAGGTAAAAATAATAGTAAATTTTTTCCACCCCTAACAGGAACAACATTTCAACTTCGTAAATACTCAGATTTACCCTCATCATACTAAGCAGAACAACTATTTGATTTGGTTTTATCAATTGTACTATCAGCTTGTAGCTTTCCTTGAATTAAACACTAAGCTGACTGTAAAACTGATTTTTAAAAAAACAAAAACTCCACCAACACCAGGGATAATTTCTGCTTTGTAGAACTTCACTGAAGTTATTTCCCATTGAGACAATACATCTTCATTGGAAGCTCTACATGAATAAGGTATTTGATGTATCTAACAGACAGGGCTGGTGTTTTAGTTGAAAAGAGATGTGTTTTATACTAAATTGTTTTTTCCAGTATATTGTAGCTTTCCTGAATACCTAGTTCTGAATTTCATTTTCATTTCTGTGCTTTACCTAGTATTTGTTTTTAAAAGTGTTAGAAGAAAAGCTGCTGAAGACGTTATGTATGAACAAAACGGTACAGTGCATCTCTTACATTTCAGTGACATAATTAAGCAAGAGGCTGTCATCGAAGTCTATGTAGTTACAGTTGTGTGAAATAAGATCAAGGTCTGTCCCAATGTGATATGTGTGTGAAGAAAGATCAAGACCCATACAATTTTTCAGCCATCACAGAAACAGACAAGCGAATACCCCCCTCCACTGCTTAACTGATCTCTCTCTAATTTCTGAAAATTTGGTTTTAAAAATTAAAAGGGAATCCCTCAGTGAAAGACATACTTTTTGTATTTGAAGAAAGCTGTTTCGAAAGTTATGAATTATTTATAGCAAAACAACCATTTCACTCAGCTACTCCCCTGGGTTCAGCATTCTCAGATCAAACAAAGGGAAGAGCAGAAACCAAAGCGTTTTTTGGTCCAGAGTTTGCTCAAAGTTACACTGTAGGACCTGGAAGTCAATCAGTACAAGGGATGCCTCAGTTCCCTGTGTTGTGACCTTGCATGTTATTGATAAAAACTACATTTTAGATGCTGCAGCTGCAGTCCCAGGATGAGACCCCAAAATTTGAATACAGAGTTTCTGCATATTTGCTTAAAGGACATTTAACACCAATGTGAATTGGACTTTTTTGTAGGTAACACAAAGGAGAGTTTATTAAGCATCCTCTTTCTATATTCACTGTGGAACTGGAACTGAAAAGAGCTACCTGCAGGGCAGAGGATCTGGTGATTGATCAGCTTGGGAAAACTTCAGGAAAGGCAGAGCTGGGAGAATAGAAGACTTTTACAAGGCACTACAGAGTGCAAATGACTCCAGAAAAAAAAGTCCTCAGGTTTTGAAGGATAATTTATGGGTGCAGGCTATTCAATTCTGAAAGAAATAAGAGTTGTATTAAAGGTGGAGTCCTCATATAGAAATAAAGTAACAGCTATTTGCTTTGCTCTTGCCTTTATTAGACCAAATTAGAATAACTCCTATAGTATCAAGTGAATTCCACTGATGTAAAATTGCAGTAGGCCATAGGGAAACTAAGCCAATATTTTGTGACTGAGATCTCAAATTAATGGTGACACTAGCATTTTCTTGCATGAATCATGGTTTTAGTTACAACTGTCTACATGAGCTAGTTAGGGGAGCTTAGGTGTGATAACGTCATTGGGGGAGTGTGGGGACAAGGATTGATCTCTCCCTAGTTTAAACAGCAAATAGTAGAGTAAGGAAACTGTGCTAAAGGGTACTCAGCAGAAGAGTGGAAGCAAGAAGCTTATCTGGGGTCTGCATTAGCTCTGGCTCAGGGCCCAGCACTCCTGTGGCTTAGAATCTCAAAATAATGGAATCACAGGATGGTTTGGGTTGAAAAGGACCTTTGGAAATCATCTGGTCCAACCTCCTTGTCATGAGCAGGGACATCATTCACTGAATCAGGTTGTTTAAAATCCCATTCAACCTAGCCTTGAACACTTCCAAAGATTGAGCATTCACAATTTCTTTGGGCAACCTATTCCATAGTCTCACCACCTCTATCACAAAAAAAATTCTTCTTTATATTCAATGTGAATCTGTCTTTTTTCAGTTTAAAAATGTTAGCCCTTGTCCTATTACTACAGGCCCTACTAAAAAGTCTCTGACCATCTTTCTTGTAAGTCCCTTTTAGGTACTGGAAGGCTGCTGTAAGGTCACCCTGAAGCTTTCTCTTCTGCAGGCTGAACAACTCCAACTCTCTCAGCCTGTCTTCACAAAAGAGGTGCTCCAGCCCTCTGATCATGGTTGTGGCCCTTCTCTGGACCTGTTCTAAAATGTGCAAGGACTAGTGGCAGATAACTGTGTCACACACTCAATCCCCAGTGGAATCATCCATTTTCTGGGAGTTTAAGGGGAGTAAAACTGCTCTTTTTCTGACTCTCACCTCCACCAAGATACTTTCTTCGGAAATAAGGCAAATTTTTGAAAGGTCAACTACAGTCTGATCCAGAAAGAAAAATAAGATTTGACCAAGGACATAAAATCTGGCCCTTCTTATTGGATCCCCAAGTATTTAATGTCAAAAATTATGCTACTTATTTTCATTAAAGTTGCCTACCATTTTTAACCAAATTAAATGCCCAGGATTATCCCAAGGTGAGAGAGATACAGTCCTTTCCTGTCAGATGTTGTTGCCAAAAAAGCAACTTACAAATACTCAGTCTAACAAAAGATATATTTTAAAATGCATTTCAGAATTTTCTGATAGTGAACTGAGCTATAACCACGGATTACAGTTATCTATAGATTATCTGATTAACAGCCGGAACACGCTGCACTGAAATACTTTATTGGTGTGAAGTTATATATTGCAAAATAATCTAAAGTATGTGTGAAAAATTTTGTTGCTATTTTAATCATAACACAAATCATGAGGTTAGGAATCCACTCTCACACCATTGCCTTCAAGGAGTCTGATATACATCATTGGACGAGTTTGTACTCCCACTACTAACCTTGACAATAAGTTTAATGCTCCATAGCTACCCAGTTTAATTGTCACTGAACTTTCTCAAATGGTACTGGTTTATTCTGATTCCCAAGGTATAACAGACCATTTTCACCCCCTCCTACCCATGGCAATTTCTCCTTCTCTTCCAGTGTTGTGTGCAGCTCTCATCCATCTGCCAATTTTTCAGATGTTTACATCTTTGTTCAGTTTGGTTCAGGGTTGGTTTATCTTCCAAATGAAGATGCTAGCTTTTTTTCCTTACCTTGAATATTTTTGCTGCATGTTGGCAGTCTAGACTGTTTGTTATAGTCTCAACAGCTGTTTTTCTATCTTGTGACTCTTTGTTCCCAAAGGACTATTTGCTCTCCTAATGTCTTTTCACAGCCACTTGCAATAAATCATCCCTCTAAAGGAAAAAACCCCAGCTTTAAACAACAACAACAACAACAAAATAATTTAGAGATATTTGAAACACAACATACTTATACCCAAAAAGGAGGGAAATTTCCACCAAAACTGGTGTCACGTACCATTTTGGTTTACTTATTTTCCATCCCAACAAGAGAATGACAAGGGACAAAGAGTGGTTTCAGGATGGGTAGCATACTGAAAGTGGGATACAGTTTTCAGACAAACAGCTCATATTTTTGCATGACCCTCCACGAAAAAGAAAAAAATTAGTTAATAATAAAATGCATAATAATACTATACAAACAAAAATGGAAATAATGTATTATGGAATATTTTAATATGCTTTACCGCTCTCTCTTCAATGACAGTTTCTGAGTCTGCATTCAACTCCTATTTGCTCTACATCCCCTGGAAGATTGGCCAAAACCAGCTCTCAATAATGATGGCATTTGTCTGGATCATTTTGTTCCTGCCCACTTAGCTGTCCCTGCAATATCGTTTGCTTTTTTGAGCACTTCATGTCCATTTGGCCCTTGCCCATCCAATTCAGTTCCAGAAAGATTTTAGTTGTCTCTGTATCTACCAAGTGTTTTCATTCAGTCCAAAGCTATATGGAGTGTGAAATTTCATTACCACAGTTTTCAAATGGAGAAGGAACCAGTGTTTGATCCTCACCTGGTATTAAGAGGCATCACTGCTAAGGTTTGGCTCATTATATAATTCCTAGCTCCTAGCATTCATACAGATATTAGCTGCTAAAATCATGCCAGAGAGGAAGGCAGTGGGTAGGAAGGGAGGAAAAATGGTAATATAGAATGATTTCATCTCAGAGAGTGGGTGTCATCTCATTAAATTGCTTTTTGAAAAATATTTTGATGTTAACTGTGGAAAACCTCTTGGGGCTATGTTCTGCTTAACAGAGGTTGCTTCATAAGGACTGAGTAGGATGAATCCACACCTGTACCTATAAGAATGGTTCCTATGGCACTTTGTGGCCTTGGGTTACCTTAATAGGAACCTGCTCTGGGAATGGATTGGTAAGACACAGAAAGGCACCTACTCCAGCTCCATGAACTACTTTCAAAAGAGCAATGAGAAAAACTGACTCTCTTGTCCTTGATGGCAAGATCATAGCATCTTCCAAAGATTGTGGGGAGAAGCACAGCCCTGACTGATTTGCCTGAGATCATGGAGGACACATTTCATGTAGCTGGGAACAGATCATATGTCCTCTGAGCCACAAGCTTACACATTAACACCTGGGCAATCTTTCCTCTCTATGCATAATGCTCTGCATCATAAGAAAAACATGAAGCCATGTTGCACACTGGGAAATGGAGAGGTAGACTGCAATGTTTCCAATGTCCCCAGTGTAATCATTTTAGGCTTCGAAGGTACAATCAGGAGTCCCAAAGGATACCATTTGTTTAGATTTTGCAAAGAGCAACCTCCCTATAGGGCTTTCCAACAGGACTATCTCGTATTCCAAGTTCGATAGCCTGGCTGCTGCTCACATTATCATAGAATCACAGAAAAGCTGACATTGGAAAGAACTTCTGGAGTGCATCTGGTCCAACCCCCTGCTCAGGCAGGGCCTCCTAGAGCTGGTTCCCCAGGACTCTGTCCAGACAGCTTTTGAGTATTTCCAAGGGGGGAGACTCCACAGCCTTCCTGGGTGACCTGTGCCAGTGTTGTTACTCTCACAGTAAAAAGGTATTTCCTGAAGTTCATGGCGAACCTCCCATGTTTCAGTTTGTGCCCATTGCCTCTGGACCTGCACTGGACAACACTGAAAGGAGTCTGGCTCCATCCTCTTTGCATCTTCTCTTCAGGTATTTGTACACACTAATGAGATCCCCCTGACCCTCTTCATCTCCAGTCACAGCTCTCTCAGCCTTTCTTCATGTGAGCAACACTCCAGCCCCTTCATCATCCTCGCAAATCTTTGTCAGATTTTATCCCTTATGTCCATGTCTCTCTTGTACTGAGGAACCCAGAATGGGATACAATACTGCAGGTATGGCCTCACCACCACTTCTCTTTAGCCCTTCCTTAGGGGGCTGGATCCTGTCAGTAAACATAAATGAGTTAAATATTGCAAGTCTTTCTTCTCCAAGTACTGATGCTCCTGTAAATCTTCATTAGGGAATTGTTGTTCCTCTTCAATATGAAAATACTGAATGTTTGTGACTGTAATGGTTGCGTGGGGGATTTGATGGTTTCTCACACTTTCCCAGGATAGAATGTCCCAACTCAGTTACAAAAAACTAACATTTCCTTTAGTTCAGCAAAAATAACACATGGTGCATTCCTATTCCCCTCTTACTACAATCTTCTTGTTAGTTTGAGTCAGTTACAGGTTACCCTCAGGCCAAATCTAAATGTCCAGAGCTGGTAATCTAACCATGGCACAGCACAAAACCTGACAGCAACTCAACTGATGTTTGCTGCTCTCTGCACAGTATGTAGGGCAGGTACATCTGCAGCTGCAACCAACCTGGAGTTGTCCTGCTGTTCCTAAAAGCTGCCAGGCATGAGGAGAGACTGACAAGGTTGTCTAATAGACATAAAATAAAAAAATTGCATCATTATCTTTTGACCTAAAATGTGCAAAACTTATTGCCTACCTGAATATTAAGGAAGAGGAGTGGAACTTAACTCATAAATAAAAAAGTTAAACAAAAAGCTGTGAACTTAATGAGATTGGTTCAACTTTTCTCCAAGTCATAGTTTTTAAGTATTCATCAATCACAGATATACTGCAAATCCCTATGGGAACATGAGGACTTGTGGTATGCCACAGAAACATCAATCTATGAGCAATTTCTATGACAGTCATGAACTACTGCAAGCATCTCCACAAAAAAAGCATCCTGGCCACTATGGGACAGAGGTCACTTCTCCAATAATATAGAAACTTCTTGCAGCAGAAATTATCAGCAATATGCAAAACATGAATTCTGAGCCCCAAGCCTCATAATTAAACTATATGTAGAAATCTGACAGCATGCAACCATAATACTGGTGTCCGAAATCCCTAAATGTGGTAGAAATTGTGTTACAACATCTGCACAAAGATATACAGGAGAAGGAACAAAATATACCAAGATGTTTGGTATAATATCTTTAATAACATGAACTTTGTCTAATTTTACAGTTCTTTTGCTTCATGTTTTGAAAAATTAAGTTCCTTTAAAAAATATGAAATACGATGGTGGTGTATGAGTGTTAACTTTGTTCTGCTTTATATATTATGCCAAAGAAAGGCATCTGTGGCATTCCATGGAGTGGCAGTGGGAGAAGGAAGGGAAGGAGAGACAGTCAGGGGCAGAAAGGAAGTAAGGAAGGCGGGAGAAAAGGAGGGAGGCAGGAGAAAAGGAATGAAAGAAAAGGAGGGAAGGAAGAAGGGAGAAGGGTGGAAAGAAAGAGAGAGAAATTCCGCACCCAGGAATTCATGCAGTTCTCCTGTTGTTTTTTTTTTCTCTCATTCCTGTTGAAATATGATCACAAAACAATGTTCTGCACACAGGTACTTCTCCCAAAGTTGTAGAAATAAAGTTTAATATAATTCTGTAATACCTTGTGGGTTTGTTTTCTCAGTGGAGGAACATATCAGAAAGAAGGAGTTTATTTCTATAAATGCTATTGAAGGAAAAAATCCAAACCAAACAAACCAAAACCCCACTAAACTGCTTGGAAATTCTCAAAGTAAATCCACAGAGCAGCATTATATCATGTGGGAAAGGAATTATAATTCATGTACCAAAAACCACGTGAACTTCAGCTCAGTGAATTTCCCACTCTATAAAAGACTAATGTTGTTTCTTTTTTGTTTGTTTCATTAGTTTGTTTTAACTAGTAGGACCCAATTGTCATATCTTGTTTGTGTTTGTACCAGAGACGCACTAGAGTACCGGGCTGTGAGACAAAATAAAACTCACTTGCCAAGCAATAGCACGATTGCTTCAGTAACTGCACAGTTCAGTTAACAATTGCATGAGTTTATAGTGTTAGTTTGAAGGAAATATTCTCCATCCTTTTATGAGGCTGATCATTTGTATTGCAACTGACATGGTCCTCTGTTGGAAGATGAGGAGGCTGCTATTAAATGTTTCAGTGAAATGACCTCTGTGTTCAAAGTACACAGAGTTGAACTGCTTTGACCCAGTGCTATGGGGTGGATTCTGCATTCCCTCCGTTGCTGAACACAATTACACTCCTTACACTACTACTCAGCAGCACTCAGTGCTACTCATAGTATCTGGTTTGTGCAGCAGCTTTCAAGTTATATATTATGATTAAATAAATTAAGAAGGTTTTTGAAATAAGTTGCAATATCTTTCACTGTTTTGCATATGCTTTACAAAAGTCTAATTTTTAGAAAATACTCAATAGTTTTTAGAGCTGGATGAGTCAACAGAATTATTAAAATAATTGGCATCATTTTATAACAGATATATGACAACATAAGCTGCCCCTGTAAACTTCAAGCTGGGATACAGACTGCATATGGGGAAAAGCTCTATAAGGTTTTCTGACTTATATGAAAAAGTAAACCAATACCTTTGCTATGCAGTGCATGGCATAATACTGTTACATAATATGTCATGTAGATGTTGGCATTGTATTAACTTTTAGTACTGGAGAAAATCCGTGTTATCATCTGATTACTCAGAAAGCACATGAAAGCTGCCTTTCTGTAATTTAATTTTTACTTCCAAATAGGATCCAGTCACTGTTTAGTGATGGACAAGGAGTAGCCATCTGCTCCTTAACTTCATTATTCCCAGAGCTTGTTAAAACTGAGGAATCAGCATTTTGAAAAGGGGAAGCTCTCTTTCTCCTATGACCTTCCTCACCCTCCCAGGATTAAACCATTGCAAAGAGAATTAAAGTCAGACCAGTAGCACACATGGGGTTTCTCCAGCTGTTATTTGCTTTGCATTTATTTTTATGCATGAAGCCCTGTCTGAACATCCTCACTTCTTGCAAAAATCACAGCTTAATTCTTCCTGCAGCAAAGGATCCACAGGCTAGCTGTTATTCACTTCTTCCCCGCACCCATTATTCATCACTGTTTGCCATTGGGAAGGCAATACACTTGACTGACCTAGCACATTCCCCACTCTCTTTAATCCCTCTTTCCTCTTTGGGTAGAGTAAACCTAGTCAAAACAGGCATCAATTTGCTAAGGAGCAAACAGGTATCTGCTGCTGTTTGGCAAACTTATGTATGTCAACACTTGGCTGGAGTCCTTACTTCAGTAACTTAAATCCCAGTTTTAAGTCTTTCCGCTACATCCCACTCACCCCTCTCCTGCTCTCAAATTAGATCTGGACTTTCCCTTCCAAGTTGTGTTCCCTTTCTTGCCCATCTTCTGGGCTGCTGAGCTGTTTTTTTCAGTGCCATGCCCCCTTTCAGGAAGGACTGGGACTGGTGATGGAGAAGGAAGACAGGAGGGAAAGAAAGGGCAGGAAAGTGAGGAATGTGGGGAAATGGGCAGGGAAGAAAGGAGACAAGGGAGCAGGGCAGGGAGGAGAGTAGACAGGGAAGGCAGAAAACAGGAAGGCAGGAATAAGAGAATCAGAGAAGCAGGACAAGGAGGACTGGAGGCAGAAGAGCCAGGATAGATAGGAGGCTGGAAGCAGGAAACAGGGAGGCAAGGGAGGCAAGGGAGGCAGGGGAAGCAGAGGAGAAAGGGGGAGGTAAGGGAAGTAGAGCAGGCAGGGCAAAGAAGAGAGGCAGGGAGAAGGGGAAGGAGGCACGGAGGCAGAGAGCAGAGGGAGGTAGAGAGCAGAGAGGTAGGACAGGCAGGAGAGGCAGCCAGGGGAGGCAGGAATCAGGGTAAGGAGGTAGGGAGGGAGCAGGCCAGCTAAGATGCAGAGGAGGCAGGGAACAGGGCCGGAAGGGAGCAAGAAGTCAGGGCAGGCATGAGGTAAGCAGTGGAGGCAGGGGACACAGAGACAGGGAAGGCAGCGAACAGGGTAAAGAGGTAGGCAGGGCAAACAGATCAGGCAGAAGGCAAGGAAACAGAGGCAGGAGAGATAGGTTGGGAGGCAGGAGGTAGGTCAGACAGGGAGCAGGGCAGGCAGAAGACAGCAGGCAGAGAGTAGGGTGGGGAGGAGGCAGGGAGCCGGGCAGGCAGAAGGGAGCAGGAGAGGCTAGGCAGGCAGGACGCAGCCGGCAGGAGGCAGGGAGCAGGGTAGGCAGGAGGGAGCCGGGCAGGCAGGATGCCGGGAAGGGAGCGGCCCCTGCCCGCCGCCGGAGCTGTCCTCCGGGTGGTGCTGAATCGCCGCACCCCGGGCTCGGAGGGTCGGGGGGCGCCGGGAGCGCGGAGAGCCGCCCTGCGCAACCCCAAAGAAGGCAAATCCAAATACCTGCACAGGGCCAGCAGCTGCCGTGGGGCGGCGGGGGGCTGCGTGGGGTGGGTTTTTCCCCCTGTAGATGTCCTTGCTGCTGAGATGGGTGGGCGAGAAAGATCTCCCGGCTCCCGGGTTCCGGCTCAGATCTCTCTAGAAAACTGAATGAGCGAGCGCCAGCTCCACGGGGCTGTGATTTTTTTTTTTTTTGTTTTTTTTTTTTTTTGGTAGGAGGCGTGTGCGCCAAAGCTTGGGTCCTTCCACTGCCGTCCCCCTGGGTCCTAAGCCCTCCTGCCGCCCGCCCGGCTGCCTCCCGACGCTCCCGATGCCCCTGGGACGCGGGCTAGGTGCTCCGTGCCGCCGCGGGAGGGGTGGGAAGGGGCTGCTGGCGACCGGGAGGGCTTAGCACTGCGGGCTTCTACCCAGCGGCGTGGGCTTCACCGGCTGTTTTCTAGCATCACCCCTTTCCCAGTGAAAGTCGGGCAGAGCACAGTCTCCTGCGGTATTTACAGCAGCCATGGAAAGAGTGATCTTAATGGACCATGTATTATCGATGGGTTGCTTTAATGAACATGGCAGCCTGGGTTTATAAGAGAAGTTTTGCCTGGGTCAGACTGCAGGGACATCTAGCTCAGCGTGCTGTCACCAACAGTACCCACAGCAAATGTCTGGTCAAGAATGTAAAAATAGGACAACCTTCACCCCTTCACTCTCTCAGCCCCTCTCCCAAGGACTTCAAGTTCAGGAATTTTCCCAGCAATGTAGTACCTGTGTTTTTCAAATGAAATTGTACTCTTTGAGAATAATGTCTCCTAGAATACTCACAAATTTCTAGAACATCCTTCCATAATGTCCTTTGACTAGGCCATCTATTTCACAATCACCTGTCATTCATTGTAGTTATCTATAAGCTTCTGATAGTGGTGCAGAAAGGACAGAAGAAGGGAACTACTCTTTTTAAATTAGGTCCTGAAAATCACTTTCTGTACAAGCCTCATAAGACCTGTATTAAACTGTACTTGGAAGACTTGGGTGAGGTAATGACCTTGGCAACCAAATTCACACCCATCTGCTTTTATCAACACACTAAGCTCAACTAAATGTGTGCTTCTTCTTTTGTTACCCCTGTACATTGTGGAGTAAAATTCCTGTGAAGTGGTGGATCAAAGTCAGCTGATTGTCCTGGTCTATTTGCTTTGGGCACTCTCTTGAGTCAGTTACTGAAGGATCTTATATAGCAAAGAACTAGGTGATAAATGATAAAGATAAGAAACAACTTCTACATAAGAAACGACTAAACAGAGTAGGATTCTTTGGCATGGAAAAAAAAAAGATAAGTGTAGATAAAACAGTGATGTGGTTTTTTTTTTTGTCATTCATAATATTTCATAATAATGAGCAGCATGAGGAAGATAAATTGGAATGGTATCTCTGTATTATTTCCAGTTTTAGGAGCAGGAGAAATGAAATCCACTAGGGTCTAGCTTTGATTTAAACAAAAGGACATACTTCTTCACAAAATATTTAGTGAAGCTGTAGAAGTCATTTCCACGGGACTTCATGCTTCAGAAAATTGTAAGACATATTTATGGAAGAAAAAAGCATTAAAGGCTTTTAAATATGAAATCATGACCTCTGGTTCGGGAAGTTCCTGTTACACAAATTGCTGAATGCTGGGGTTATATTTGGGAAAGAATGATTATATTCTTGCCCTGCTCTTATTCTTTACCTTAACCATCTGCTGATCACTGCTGGAGGCAGGCACTGGGCTAGATGGACCTTTGCTCTAACCCAGTACCAATTTCTTTTATAGACAAAGCAGACTGAGAATGTGAACGCAACAGGATCCATTTCAGTTTTGCTTTCCCTTGAAAGGGGAATATTCAGTGGCTTCATTCTACTTCAAAGAGTTTACATCCAGACAGAGTCACTTGCTTTTTAGAGGAAACACCCCAATATTAATGAGCAAAGGCAAAAGGAATCTGTGGGGAAGATGACTTGTGCTTTTAGAATGATTTCCATGCTCAACCACTAATTTAACCCACAGCATGTTTGGAAAAGGTATATGAGGTATTTGTATCTAGTGACTCAACCACATTGACTGGAAGACAAGAAGTAGCATCTGAAAGCAGACAGCTCAAAACCCTCAAAAGAGCATTTGTCCCACCACTTGATATAAAAGTATTTCTAGCCCTGGGGAAGTTAACAGTCAGTTATTAAGTAGTCTCATTAGATCATTTTCTGCATAGAGATCAGTTTGGAGATAAAAGAACAAGCACAGTGTTTTCATAATCCTCTTGCAAGCTTCCACTCTTGCACATATGATAAAGATTAATATACTAGCTACTGTAACTATGCAGTACTTCCCTGGGAATTGATAATAATATTAAGTGGAAAGAACATGACTCTATAAACCAACTGCCTTAGACAGTTCAATGGGTTTCCAAATTTGATGTATGCTTAATAGTTGGGGATTTATATTTTAATATTTGGGGATTATTTGGTTTAATTGGAATATTTTTTTTCCTTCTGTAGTGTTGCTGTTAAGTGACCACTACTTGCTGATCCACTGGAAGATTGATGTGTTGCACAGTCCTATGGTAGAAGCATTTCTCTAAACATATTACAGCAGGGCCTTATATCGATCCCACTGCAAATATTCTCATGTTACTTTCTCATTACCACTTTATCACTTCTTCATCCCTTCCTTTCTGCAAAGTCTACTCTGTACTCTGAGAGCACACTTCAAGTCATCTCATTCTGTGCATTGTCCCAGTCATTACACTTCAACCAAAGTTATGACCTCAGAAACAAGAGTGTTGAAGATATAAACTTTGAGTTTCATAAAACTATGTCTGGGACATTAGAAACTCCCTTGCTGATGTGCACAGACTGGAGCTTCATCCCTTTCTCACTTGCAGTGTTGAATACACAGAGTTAAGGGGAGAAAAATGTGCCTGTAATCACAATTTTTTACTGAAGGCATTACAGCTGACTGAAAACATGGAGGGAACAGATCAGCCCATGGGAACATGGAAGGGGAGGATGTTTTATACAGCCTTTTCTCAAAGTAAAATGGAACTTTAATATTAAATTTATTCTAACCTGACCTTCCCTGTTGTCACACGTATTGTTTCTCTATTTTAACAAAGAGCAAAGAGATCTAAACTTGGAAAGAGAATGTATACTTTCACCACCAGCAGAAGGTATCCATGTACCTGAACTATCAAGGAAGCCATGGAAGGTCAGAGTGGCTGGTTGCTCCATAGTCTAGGTATGATAAATAGTTTCTACTCTCTTTGAGGCAAAATATTTTGTCTTCACTCAGTGAAATGCACAGCCTCTTGCAGTATTTTTGACTGCCAAAAAGTGTTGTGAAGTTAGGGGCTAGTTTGAACATTTTTGCATCTCTGATATTGTTGTCTCATTCATACAAACCCAAACCCACCAAAATATTTTAATTCATCACAGTCAGGAATGGATTTTTTTTTAATACCAGAAAAACCATTCCAAATAAGTGGAAAACTGCTCTCCCTCTGCCTTAAGACTGAAATAGAGATATATATCTACATAACATACAAATATATTGATCTTCAGTATTTTATAGGGTTAGGGCATGTGAATGCTGTGCATATATATTCCTTGAGCAGAAAGGTTGGACCAGATAACCCCACCGATCATCCCTTCTAAACTTATTCATTTTGTGGTTCTGTTATATAAGGAGAGGGACAGATCTTTCATGCAATTCAGTATATACCTAGTGTCATTAAATTTCCAAGTGTGATTTCTCCAAAATTTAAAATGTTCTTTACAGCTTGTGAACAGGGACTTTTAGAAATAATATAGTATAGGATGTTCTTGTATCTTTAAAATTTCTTTTGTGAAAAATTTACTGCAAGTTTCTAAAATTAACAGTCAATTTTAATAATTAATTGGGAGCTCAATCTTTTTCTCTAATCTACAATTACCATCTGGTTTTATTTCCTTTGAAAGTAACTGCATTGAAAGCCCCAGTAGACTAAAAAACAATAATTCTAAAGTAGCTTAGACCCAATAAATCATTATTCTTAAGGGAGAAGTAACTTTTAGATCACAGTTCAGAGAGACTCATGTTATAAATCCTCCCAGGTTTCCCGAAACTTTAAAATATTTAAAAATTTATACCAAAAAATGCAAAACATATGCAAATTGATTGTTCATATGACTTATTTAATGAGAAAGGTCCAGTTTTGCCATTTTTGCTCTTGATGTAGAGAATTCATTCTTTTGCTGAATTCACGTACAACGACCACTTATACCACTCTCAGAATAACGTGTAACTGGGACACAAAGAGAGTTTTGACCTCGAGCATGTAGGTGGGTGAAGCTGAAATATTCCATTTCCATGGGAATTCCAGGAGCTGGAGAGGAGATCCAGCATACAACTGGAGGTCAGCAGCATAATTCAGGTAAAGGCAAACTCTCAGAACTGCGATCTACAATTTTCCCCCTCAGCTCCTACTTAACTCTGAAATGGTCTAATTCCCATAGCTAGGTTATTTTGGGATTGTGGAGCTCGTGCAGGCCCAGGCTGAGTATCTTGGTTCCAACGATCGATCAACTTTCAAAAACTGCAAGTGAATATGAGTCAGCAGTGCCCTGGCAGCCAGGAGGGCCAACCATGTCCTGGGGGGCATTGTGCAAAGCATCGCAGCCAGTCAGGGGAGGAGACTGTCACGCTGTGCTCTGCACTGGTACGTCCTCACCTTGCATACTGTGGCAATTTTGGGCACTGCAATATATGAAAGATATAAAGCTATTAAAGAGTGTCCAAAGGAGGGCCACGAGGATGGTGAAGGGCTTTGAGGGGAAGCTGTACTGAGGAGCAAATGAGGTCACTTGGTCTGCACAACCAGGAGAAGAGGAGACTAAGGGGAGACCTCATCTCAGTCTATGACTTCCTCATGAGGGGAAGAGGGGCACACACTGACCTCTTCTCTGTGTTGACCAGTGACAGGACCCAACGGAATGTCCCGAAGTTGTGCCAGGAGAGGTTTAGGTTGGATATTAGAAAAAGGTTCTTCACTCCGAGGGTGGCTGGGCACTGGAACAGGTTCCCCAGGGAAGTGGTCACAGTACCAAGCCTGTCAGAGTTCAAGAAGCATTCAGGAAGTGTCTCTCTGTCATGTGCATGTTGGAAATGTTGACTTTAGGCTCAGA